GTTTCGAACAAAAGGGAACAAATACCAAGACCCTACACCAAGATCCTAACGGATCTATAATCTGCGTGAGAAATATTTACGTAAGCAGTCGATACACAATGCTTAATTGATAAAAATTTCGCGTAACTTTAACTTTGCACAAATTTAACTAGTGTTTATTAACTTAACATAAATCATTTCAAAACATCGAAACATATAAAGGAATTTAGTACTTTCTAGTTAATTTGGTCGCTTTTATTACACGGAAAGAACAATTTTGTTAAAAAGTCTAAAAATTTTACTGAAAACAGATCTGAAAATAATTTTTTGTTAAATCATCAAAATAATGTGTTGGAATGTTAAAACTGATAAGCATTGCTATAAAACATTTTGATATTCTAGCAATCATTTTGACTTTTGCACAACATTATTTTGATTAAATATTCGCAAAAATTATTTTCAGATTTGGATTCAGAAAAAATTGTTCTTTCCGTGTAGAAATAACAGTTGTTCTAGTTTAAGCTTGAAAAAATTAAAAAATAATAAGTAGAAATATATGTTTTTCTCTTCACTATATTATATTACTAACTAATTGCTCTATTTTGATTTGTTGCCTCAAGCTTAATCTATAAAAGAGCTATTTTTATTTAAAATAGAGAGAAAGATGTAACTAATGAAAAATTTAGATTCAGCGAAAACAGATATGCAAATACACATATGACTTATTTATAAATTGCGATAGATGGAGGTTTGGAAGCATACCATGTGAATAATACTGTAGATATATTCTCAGATAATACAGAGAACGGTTGAAGAAATTGCGAGAATTCGAGCGGAACAAGAGGAATTACGATTCAAATACCATACTGCATAATCGTGGTGAGAGGAAAGTGCTGCGTAAACGCCTTCTTTCGCGTAACTTCGGCAAGCTGTTTGATCTATCGTGCGGATCGAATTCAAATTATTCGAATGCTTACCCGAGGCACCAAAATCAGATCAATTCTAATCTACAGAACGGATTGTTCGATCGGTCTTTTACAAAAATATTTCTGTTGGAATATCTTTACATATATTTCTATTTATATGCATATCTAATTAATCATGCACGCACAAGAACTGTTGCTATTTTATTTGAAAACTCTCGTTTTTTATCTTCATTATAAAATTCTGAATAAATAAAAAACAGTTGTCGTATACCAATTGTACGTTTGTTTCGTAATAATTATTGTCTATTATCATTCATTGATGACTTTCAGTAGGAGCGCGAGAATTTTCAATCAATGGGAGCCCTGCTGCAGATGATTGATCCATCAAACCACATTTCCCGCGGGAAATGCACATTTACAAATACATTTAAAGGTGCCGTTCACACACGTAAGTGAAATTCCTGATGCATTCGTGTGGAGGTTCGAGACGGAATGAAGAGATGGCAGTAGGTACACCACTCATACGTACCTTAAGCTTCGAGATCATCCCTTCTCTCCAAAGCTGTTTCGCGCGAGAAAAAAATTACGCGACGTGATACTCATTACTGCTCCAACACGCGAAAGATTGCCTCGCGATTTAATTGGGAGGAGATGTAAAATTTGCTCGGTCCTCCGCTTGAAAGTCGTCTCGTGTCGAATTTCCAAAGCGTACAATAGACGATCGCACGCATAAAGAAGACGGAAGGAAGAGCGGGTCCGCACGAATGCGAGAAGGCGGTGGTGTGTACCAGTGGGGATTTACCACCCAGCGAAAAATTAATAAATCCTGCTCTTAAACAAACAAACTCCACCCACCCGCGGATCGGATAAGAGAGCCCGGCTATTGATTTATTAATTTAGAGCTGCCCATTCTAAGACGCGGCCAGGAAAGGAAGGGCAGAGGCAGGAGAGAGAGAAAGAGGGAGAGAGAGAGAGAAAGGATGGCCGAGGAAATATATCCGCTTGCTCGCTCGCGCCACAAGCACGGACGCGCTTCTTCGTAGCGCTTCGGGACCCGAAGTTAAGGGATCCGCTATCCGATGTGGTATCGGTAATTATAGCCCTGAACGCGAGCGCGCGTTGCTTACGTTCATTACTGAATTATCGGCTTCGCTCGGCAAACAATGTGCCTCTTTCAACCCTCCCTCTTTCTCCCCCTCTGTCTCGCCCCCGCACGCAACCCCGTTCTGCGCCGATCCTCTTCCATCGAGCGCAACGCGATCGAGCCCAGGCTTCGACTTGCCTCTCTCTTTCTCTCTTTTTTCCGTCCCCCCCCCCTCCTATCTTTCCCGGTCCTGCCCTCCTCTCTCGTCGACATGATGCACCACGGCGTACCTTCTTCTCGCTTCACCCTTGAACGGAATCAACGGTCCTATCTGATGGGCCACGGGCTGAACTACGACCGTGCACCTCTCTCCGTAGTCGCGAGACCTGCTCTCGCTCTCTCGGCTCTCTTCTTATTCCGGCTCTTTGCGGAATACATTCGCGAGAACGGAGCCGCGCCGATACCCCTCTTTCCCACTCTCTCTCTCTCTCTCTTCCTCTTGTTTGCGTGATAGCGATTACAATGCGCTCTACGAAGTAGATATTGTTACCAATGTAATGGAGCCGAGCACGATTTTTCGGGACCGAAGTTTTGAAGTTCGTGAAGAGAAAGGGAAGAGTCCAACGGTTAGCTCTCTATAACCGTCAGGCGGAATTTATCGTTGCGCCGTACGAAAGCACGCGAAACCAAAGAAGTTGATAGCGGTGTACTATTACTTCCTTTCTCACAGTGTGAACAGGAACTTAATCTCCACGGCCGATGTATGTAGTATACAAAATGCGCCTTTAACGAGGCAAGCCGGGACGAGATTAACCGCGACTGGACGAGACGGGAAACGCTCCGAAGCTCCGAAGCGCGCCGCGAACGGTTTCTGTTTAGACGTTCGCGAGGGGGTTAAAGCGGATACGCCGACGAATGTGAATCCACCTTAATACGGATTCTGCGGAGGCAACTCGGAGAGGGCGGAGGGGGGAGGGGGGAGGGGGAGAGGGCTTACGGTATACCACGCGGACTATACGCGGGAGAGATGCGCGGTCCTATGAGGACCGCGCGCGGCGTGCTCTTTCGCTGCGTCATTCGCGATGAGGAACGCAAGAACGCGCATTACCCACGGATCGTCGTAGCTTCTCCGGTCCATCGTGCGACCACTCGAGCCACCACCACCACGGCCGCACTTTACTCCGGGCTTCTTTTTCGCGGCGCTCCGTCCGTCGCGCGGATTTCGATCCGCGGTGCCGCTACTGAGCAACAACGACATCGCGAGTGACTTTTATGGGCGGTCAGAGCTAGTGGCGAGATATATATAAAAGTGCCTACGTACGGAATAGGTGTACGTCTGCAGTAATCAGACATCATAAACGATTTTTACTCGGTCAGAGGTGATAATGAAACTTTTCTTTCGGCTGTGGCGCTGTAACATTTAACACATTCGATATCCGATGTATTAGGAAATGGCAATTACGAATGAATCGATCTGAGGGAGTGGAACGCGTGAAAATACATCGTCCAAAGATATTAATTAATTCGTCAAAATTCCGTTATAAATCATTCTTTTTTAACGATCGTAACAATTAAATTCAATGATCATAATTATTATGTCATCGAAATAATTGAAACGATCATCAGGTGGGAAATGAATAGCGGCGCGCTCGGTTCGGAGGATCGTGCCTCCTGAGATGCGGTGGCACGTGAACAATCGAAGCCCTTAATTCCCCGAGCACGGGACGGCAGACGCCGATGATTCACGGCGAGCCGGTTATAGCTGCTCTTTCCCCTCCCCTCCCCCCTTCCCCACCCGCGGGCCCGCCGCCGGCCCGAAGCTGTTTTCTCGCGGCGCTATTTTCTGCCTATTCGAGGGCGAAACCTTATAGGGTATAGGTCATCCGCAGTCGTCCCTAGCGAGAAATTCCGCGAAGCCGTAGCTGATCTCGTTCGGAATCGCATTTCTGACAGCGAGTTTACGATTGCGGGCGAACGGCGTTGCGGCTTCGCCGAATGAAACGGGGGTGAGACGGGGGTTGAGAGGGAAGACGCGTCCGATGAGCGCTAGCCGACCTGGCTAAGGGAGTCTAGTCCCGGGGCACACAATTATTATAGATATTGTGGCCCGGTTGCGTTCGAGTTGTGTCAGTGGATAATTTATGTCGCGGCGATACCGCGCCGCCCAGTTCGGCCTAAAAATTATTTATTTGATTGAACGCCGCTTCGGGGAAGGCTGTTCTCGGCCGAGCCGAGCCGAGTGATCGCTCGCTCGCGGGAACAAGTTTCTCCTTTGCTCGTCTAACACAATATAAAGAAAGGAGATCGTACGAGCGCGCACGGTGGCGTATACAGATGGTCGAACTGATTCCGAAATAAGTTCCGGATCGACTATAATCCCCGAGTCGTGTCCAGCGCAGAACAGGACGTGCGAAGCCGAAGTATCAACGGTATCGACAATTAATAATCGCGATGACACGCTTTGCGCGATGAAGATATTATTCTACTTCAGTTGGCACATCGAGCGTATCGAGTGTGTCTCAATAGCGCCGATTTTACGTCCGTAATGATAGCAGTGGTGTAGTGACATTACGTGAGAAATAAAGCGTGGCGCGTTCGATAGGCGAAGCGCAACGGATAATAGACGTTCGTTCTTGTAATTGGGTACACCTGTACCGAGGCTGAGCGATGTCGAAAGTGCGAGGTTCACGCATGAATCACGTATATCGGCTGGTATACCTTCGAAGTCGTTACGTTAATCGCGAGTCAGAGATCGATGCAGATGCGCCGTGCGCACTCGCTATCATCGCGAGCGTAGTCCACGCGAACGAGCGTGGCAAAAAAAAAAGACAAACTCCGTTTGCGAGTTCTCGACCTGTAACTTTCTAAGCGTTACTCATTAGCTTCCCACACTTGCGCGACGTACGCGTCTTCGTAGACAATACCGAGCATTGTCTCGCGGCGGCCATAATTCGTAATTAGCCACCTGATTAATTATCGATTTATCGGCTAATTATTATAATTATCTGTACCTGTGCGTTCCCGCCGATCTCGTGCACCAGAATACTTCGCATTATCAGATAGCCCGAAAGGTCTCTCTCTTCTCTCTCTCTCTCTCTCTCTCTCGTCGCGCACGGGAATCCTGCGCGGCCGTCTCGTTGGCCAGGCTCGTAGATCTTCGTAGAAGCGTACCAGGGTACCCTGCAACGTTAAGTTATGTTTAGTTAGTACAGTTACATTACCTGAATTAATTCCGACCTACCACAGAGTAAAAATTACACGCATTTAATGCATGACGTTTCATGCAAATCACATTAAGATAGTCTGTTTAGTAGCTTCGCTCTATACGGTCACCGATACGAGGTCCCCCTTACTTTTGTTGTCGTCGGCGCAATCTCACGGTCGGTCGAGCACACGGAGGGGACAAAAATGAACGGCTCGCCCGCCCGGACGGGCCGCCGCGCGCCGGACGACCGCATCCCTTTCTCGGTATTCCGCGAGTTGCGAGCGCGCATCAGGACCGAGGACGGCTGGATGCGAGGAGTTGGACGGTCGATAGGAGGAGTGGCCGATGCCAGATACGAGAGGGTCGACCTAACTTTATTGTATTTAATTAATTACTCCGCCCGATAGCCGATCCTGCAATTTGTACCCTCCCCCGGTCCGCCGCCGTCACCCCTCTCCGACGTCGTTCCTCTTCATTCTCCGGGTCGCCGCCTCCGCTCCTCTCGCGATCACCGCGGAATCGGTACTTGCCCGAGTATCCGGCAAACGCTCGACTCCCTCCGTACTCCGATTCGTTGGGCCGGTTACGATTCTTGCGTCCAATATACGAGCGCGAGTGTGGGAGGAACGCGCGCGTATATATAGATATTGACATTTCTTTGAACTTGAATTATGCACCAGGCGGCGAAGTAGGTATACGCGCCCCCGCTTTATTCACATGACTGTTCGTTGTACTCTCTTTTTAGTATTATACCCGAAGTATCTGTTAACAAGTGCGCCCATTGTCGCGTATGCAGATCTCAAGGATTTCATATTTCCGACGCGGGGCAGCTCATTGCAAATAAAATGTATAAATATAGCACGCGCAGAATCGACCAAAAGATATATATGAATTTAATGCACGATGCATAAGAAGGAGGGGGGAGAGGGGGGGAATAAGGAGCACCGATTTAAGATTATCACGTTCCATTCTTCATTGATACATGCGGCTATAGATTAATTCAAGTGTCCTGGGGTACATCGCTGCGCACAGCAATGCTCGAGAATCCGTTCTACATCCGCGATCCGGCAAGCCATCCAGCGGCCCATAATGCGATACAATAAATTACGCGTAGCTCGCGTAACTCGGTGCGTCCGGGGAACGGGTACAAAGGGTGGCACGTCAGCGCGACGCATGTCGCTATAAGCGGCATAAATCAGCGTTAGAGAGAGCTGATCCTGCGCGCGCACTGCACGTCGCGTCGCGGGGACGACCGCGCTGCGCGTAAGGCGCCGCGTCACAACATCGATAATGCGACCATAATGCTAATTTACCGTTCATACCGGAGGAATCCGGCCTCTCTCCCCGCCGGACCCCGCCGGTGCTTCGTCGATCGCGCGCATGGGAGTCGCGCAGCATTAACGCCAGTTTCTCGCGCGAAGACTTGACCTTGACCTTAGTCGCGACACGGTTCGCATCCACGCCGAGTACGATTTCGATACAACGCTCTGCGCTCGATCTCTCCTTTTTTTCCCCCCCGATCCTTTATGCGGCGAGCAACCTCTGCTAAATTCGCAACGTAAATTGTACTTATACGTTAGCATCGACAATTTAAAGACTGGAGGTGCATGCAAAATGCGGACGGATTTTTCTAAACAGAATAGTTCTTTCTCTCGTCGCTATGAGAATCATGGAAATATGTTCAAACGTATACAAGATGCAAAGTTCACTCTAGGGATAAGGCTTGTCACTGGAGACTTTCCAGGAGTCGTCGCTCGTTAGAAAGAGACTTTATTAGAAAATTGATTCCTTTACCGAACGCGCGCGTCACTTGATTGTAGACTCTCCGTTGGCGGTAGATAAATTCTATCGCAGGTAGAACGAGCGAGCGGCACAAGTCGGACGAAGCTCTTCTTCCATGTCATCCCGTGGCATTCTAACGTTTCGGTCCGCCGTTAACCCCGTTAAGTACACACACGTTGCAACATCCTCGACGCTCGCGCCCAGCGGCGCGACAGGATCACGATAGCGTTCCCGCCTATTAGCTCGAATTTGGAGCTCTCCACCCGTCCGTCCGTCCGTCCGTCCGGAGTACCCGCTGCACGACGACCGTATAGGCGCAACGATAGGATGCGAAGAAGTGGTCGAGAGAGCACCGAAGTCGAACCGCGAGAGAGCGCGTATAAACATTCGTCTGGATGGACGCGCGTCGACCGGTTAAGGCGCTACGCTATCGAGCCTCGGAGCCACCGGCGGCGAGTGCACTCGGAACATGACGTCTGCAAGTCACTTCGTGACCGTATCGTGGGAAACACAAATATGTAACTGGGCGTTCTCCTCGTCGTCCATCGTAACGGCGCGCCAGGTAGATTTACGCCCGACGTTGGTGAACGAGCGGAGCAGCTCTCCGGCGCGAACAACGTCCGCGCGACTCTCGACACTGCCGCGGTCCATGATGTGCACTAGATTTTTAGGTAACGTTCGTGCGCATGAAATACGGCGACGTCGATAACCGACGCGAGAACACGCATTCGGTGGAGAGACTATTTCCGGAAGGCTTGCAAAGATCTTAACCCGCATACGCGAGCGAATTCTCGGATTTCAAACAAATATACATATCCTTAAATAACGCTAGTAGATTACTTCTAGATTTTTAGACATGGAAATATCTCGTTGTTTTTTTTTTAAGACAAAGCTGTTTGAATCTCTAAAATTGGAGTCTCTGGGGTGCGTACGTAATACGCTCGTATAATACGCTTCACGCTGGCCGTCTGTTCACCGCGCACCGCGGAGTAACGCTAATTATACGCTATCCGCCGTAATTCTCCGTTTTCTGGCCAAGTGTAGGTAGTCATTAGGACGTAGACGGCAGTTAAGCCGGAATACAGAACAAACTTATTCACTTAACTAAGTAACCCAATTTTCCTCGAGATCCCATCGCGCGGCCGGTTTCGCTTTCTCCCGCTTTGCACTCGCGGCGTGGCGAGAGAGCAGGGAGAGGTAAAGAAAAAAAAGGGACACGCGGGAACGAGCGAGGCGGGATGAGGCAAGGGTGGAGGCGATTCGAGCGGAAAGCGCGCGGAGCTCTCGTGGTGGAGCCCTGCCTCGGGGATATTAACATTATAAATCGTCCAGGCCGGCGACACGCCCGGGGCGGAGCCGATCGTATCGACTCGATGCCTACCTCCCGGACCCTGATATCGATTACACTCCGGTGATTGGCAGGATTCGTAACACGCCACGGGGAGCCCGCGGCTGGCGCGACCGTACCGATCGATCCGTTCCCCCTCGCGACGACGCCGAGGCCGCGCGCGATGCACGCAACGCAATAGAAAGAGGACAGCCAATTCTGAATCGCGGTTGTATCTGCCGTGATACGTAAGCGAGACCGCACTTGGAACAAACTAATCTCGACGTTGAAAATGATAACAATATATCGTGCCGTGCCTTAACACATTAAATATAAATCATTAAAAATCCTACACTACACAAATTATTTTTCTAATGGTTTCTTTGCGATTAAAAATCGATAATGTATTAATCCTTGACTGCTGTTACACCAAATTATATAATGCACTTTTTGTAAAGATGATTCGCTAAAGATGATAAAAGTAAAGTAAAAATGCAATTAGAGATTAAAATATGTTTAATTCTTCTTTTATCGTATAAGATTATCGTAAAAAAATTAAGCAAATAATAGCAGTTTCATTCTAAGTAGCGTTCTAGCATTCTAAGTAGCATTCTAAATAAAATAGTTTTTATTTTGATAATATCTAATTATTTTCGAACGAGTGGGAAAATATGCCGTAATACGAAAAAGTACATCCAAGAGGATACATAGCAGATATTCGCAATCATATATATTCAGCGATTTTCATTCGGGATAGCTATCGGCGGCTTCGAGTCGAGCCACGCTCGCGGTGTCGTTAAAATCCGAAACCAGAGGACGATCGTAAAAATATCACCCTCTTTCCCTCTCCCGGGGACGAAGACCGGTGAAAACGCTGACGAATATCGCGTGAAAAGTGCACGTTGGCGATCAACGACGGCGGTAATTTATTGGGAAGTCGAAAAAGGTGTTTATCGCACGCGCGCGCGTCTTCGCCTCTTGAGAAACTTCCACCGGGTATCTTCGCCTTTCACCATTTTTATTGATACTAAATGTGAAAACTCGTCACCCTACCGGCGACATCATCGCTCCGCAAGATCCTGTTCGAAGTGGCGCGTAGAGGATACTTTAGCGTAGCGGAGCTGGGCGATACTGTGAGTGAAATCGCGGCGGACCAGGCGGGCGCACGCGAGGTCGGGTTACAGCGTCGATAATCTTGACGTTAACTGTCGAAATGTCGTCGATGTCACGCGGAATTCGCGCCGCACCTCGTCGCGAGAACGGTTTTACGGCCGGTCGCGCACGCTGCCGCCGGCAAACGGCGCGGAGCCAATAGTGGAAGGTACTAATTATGAGTAAACACGCCGATTCCTCTCGCGTGAAACTTCTGCCTCGAGTCCCTTTTGTCCCTGTTTGCTCGTCACTTAATTACTTGACCTCGTTACCACCTTCCCGAAAAGCCTAACGTAACGTTGCTACCATCTCTTCACTTCACGGTTTATTCCTTTACCACAATCCATCTTAAATTATTTTCTTCCACGTTTTAAATAATTTTTTATAAATAATATTAAGACATCTATCATCTACGATCGGCAATACATATGTAATCACTCTAGCTTACAAATGATTTTTTTTCTATTAGAATATGGAAGTCCGCTGTACTTTTTGTGTTTTAAAAACTTGTATTCTTGTTTGTTTTTTCTGTATCGCTTAAATAAATTTTTTTTTAAAGGTTTACAATAAATCCCTTCTTTATAATCAACATCTATTTCATAACATATTCTGTACAAATCAATTTCGATTGTGCGGATATTAGTTCTTCTGTTCAAAACTAATCGTCGTACGCATATGTAACACGCGTACTTGAAGGGTTTGTCGTCTGGATCC